AAAAAGATAGTTGGTTCATACAACTGATCAATTAAATCATCAAATCTCGGGATAGGAAAGCGATATCTGATCGTGATCTTGTTGATAGCTCTGCTATCCACGCACATTCTCCACGACCCATCTTTCTTAGGAACCAACAAAGCTGGCACTATACAAGGGCTCATGCTCTCTCGAATTGCACCATTTTCTAATAGTTCCTGCACTTGCCTCTGCATCTCCCCATGCTCCTTAGGATTCATTATGTAAGCTGCCTTATTAGGAATAGCAGTTCCTGGAACGAGATCTATACAATGCTGAATGTCCTTCATGGGTGGCAATCCAGGTGGCAATTTCCCTGGTACGACATCAGCAAACTCCTCAAGTATAGGCAGAACTTGAGTTGAAATTTCTGGACTATCAAGATTCTGCTCCATGACTGCAACAGCAAAAAGCTCTAGGGCATTCACCGCCTCCTCCTGGAACTCTAAATTGGAAAGCAGATTATTTTTCCCTTCTTTTCTCAAATTTGAAGGACCCAGAGTAATAGTTCGACCATCCTTCTTGAAGGTGTACGTATTTTTGAATCCGTCATGCTGTGTTTTCCTGTCAAACTGCCAAGGTCTTCCTAACAAAATATGACAAGCATCCATTGGAACTACGTCACCCTACACTTTATCAGTATATTTCTTCCCAATCGAGAACTGCACTAAACACCTCTTGCTCACTTTTACCTCATTCCCCTTCCTAAGCCATGACAGCTTATATGGTTGAGGATGTTCGACAGTTTTCAACCCCAACTTTTCTACCATAATGGTAGATATCACATTCTCGCAACTTCCCCCGTCAATTATCATACTACACATATTTCCCCCACTAGTGCACTTAGTATGAAAGATATTATGCCTGAGCCACGATTCACCATCTACCTCAGCAATATTTAAAACCCGACGCACAACTAAAGACTCACCAGAATCGGCATAGACAATGTCCTCCTGATTTGGATTCGCATCTTATTGCTCTCCATCAGATTCATCATAAGTTGGGTCTTCATCAAAAGTGGGATTATCTACAAGTGTCACAAACTGTCGGTTCAGACAATCAGCAGCAAAATGCCGGAGTCCTTGACACTTGAAACATCGCTTGCCTGCAGCTCCTCCCCTGCTAGATCCAGCACTACACTGCTCTCCTTTTGTTGTAGATTTTAAACCAACGCCCTTAACTGTCGCTGGGGCTGAAGAACTCCCTACTTTCCCTCGGGACTCTTTATCTGACCATTTGGAACTGCTGCCTGACCACTTAGAACTGCTGCTAGACCACTTGGACTTACTGCTCTTTCTTTTAAACTGCCCCTCCACCTTTAGGGCTAGTCTGTACAAATCCTCATATATCCAATACTGCTATAATTGGACAACATCAGAGATCTCATATCGCAGCCTTGCCAGATATCGTGCAATCGTCTGTTTGTCTTCCTCCGCCACATCACAACGTATCCGCAAGAGATCAAATTCCTCTGTAAATTCCTCAACTATTTGATCACCTTGCTTGACGTTATGATACTCGATAAACGCCTCTTGTCTATAATGGATAGGCAAAAAAAAATTTTGCAACAACTTTTTCATCTTCTCCCAACGATCCACCTTCGGCTTCCCCCCTCTAGCGCGTTGCTTTTTCATGTGTTCCCACCAAATCGAAACATGTTTTCACAGCCTAATAGCCACTAACTTCATTTTTTGCCCCTCAGTTAGGTCTTTAAGATCAAAAATCCGTTCTACCGTATGTAACCAATCAATAAACTCATCAGGATGAGCCTTACCATTAAACTGAGGAATCTCGATCTTCATCCCGAAATTTTGAGAAGAGCGCTGATTTTCAGGTCGTACTCCTCGATTCCGCCCATGGTTCAGAACCCTGAAAGGGTTTACGTCCTCCTCGTCATCATCGGATGGATCCTCAGATTCTGCTTCTTCTTCGGATTGAGCGTCAAGCCCTGCCTCCGCAAGACGTCGCTCCAAATCCTGGATTCGCCTTCTCTGTTCCTGAATTTCTATATCTCGTAGGTCTCTCAGACGCGACTGTTCATCTGCATAAGGAACGACTCCACGCCCCCGGCTTCCACGAGCACGCTGTCTTCGACCACCTCGATTCTGTTCAGCCATTGATTCAGGTAACCTATGCTCTGATACCAATTGATGCCAAAGCGTGAAAGAAATTAGGCTAAACAGAAGAATCGAAACGATAACGAGGAACAAATTATTCTCTCAATCGATTAACAATAAAAAATATTCAAAGTCGCTCAAACGAAACCGTAAAACAAGCTTATATATCACCAAACCCTACTAGGATTACTAAACATCAAAACGTAAAATTACGAAACTGCCCTTTACTAAATTTACCCCAAAAAAATACTAAAATAATAGAAAAACTCATCTAAACGACCCTGAATCGCGAAAATTCATCGTTAGTCACGGCCAACAGCAGTGTGTATTGATCAGCACGCCGTTTTGCTTCAGCCGACCAAATTTGAGCTCAATCTGAGATCGTTGACTTCGAGCCCGTCGGTCTGTCTAGTCGCATAACAGGTACGCCGGTCCCTTAGGTGCATCATCTTCATTGAACCCTCTTTCTCTCTCTCTCTTTTTCTCTCTCTCTTCCTCTCTATTCGACCACCATCACCACCTCACCGCCACTGTCCACCACCGCTGTCCATCGCCGCCATGCCGCCTCACCGCTGCACCACCGTGACGCCGTCCGTGCTGTCCTCACGCCGACCGCACCTTTTCGCCATCACCATTCGTTCATTCATCCGTCATCGTCCTTAGTTCGACCGGTTTGGTAAGTAGTTCTTCTAATCCTTGGATAGAGTGTTATTCTACGCGTTTCGGACCTAGATTGAGTCTTATTTGAGCCTATTCTACCATGATATTGCTTGTGTCGTAGGTAGATTATCTATACCTTGAGTAGGACTTGATTCTACGTAGTTGCGTTAAGTTTCGAGTTTAGGTTCTGTGATTATTAGGGTTGATTATTGCTTGTTCTAAGAAGAGAAAGCTCGTATAGCAATCTTGTATGGTTTGCTCATGTTATGCTTGAGGTATATATGAGGATCGGGAATTACTATGTCGATCGCGTGCCTAGTTGATTGAAAGGAAGGATTAATCTTGCCACGTGATTGTTGGATTATGAGAAACCGATATTTTAAGTCATCTTGTGTGTGTTCATCTTTACAAGGAAGGTTTGTAAGTGAAGTATGAGCAATTTTGCATGTCGAATGATTGCGGTTGTTCACGTGTGATTACTTTCGTGTATTTTTATGTGTGCGGGATTTCAGATGTTCTAACCATGTGAGCACTAAACACTCTTGCATTGACTAAAGTGAAAGATAATAATTGGTTTGAGTGCTTGATGTGCTTTCGTGATCATATAAATGGTTCTGTACCTGTATGATTGCGGGGGATGATACCCAATGGAATTTCGGAAGCTGTTCGCAGAAGACGTTGCCATGCTCGATGGGGCGGGACGATGCCCAGTTACGTCAGAAGACCACCGACACGAGTGTCAGTCGTGGTCATGTGTGGTCGTAATAATCGGAACACGTGTGGATGAATTGTGCATGAATATGTGATATTAAGTGTTTTTTATTACTATGTATATTTGCTGCATGCCAATTAGAAGCGAGGCTTCACGTGTGAATTTTACGTGTCGACGAGAGGTAAGAATTCACGTGTGATTATTTGATTGTGTTTTTGGCATGCCGAGAGGATGAGATTATCTTTCATGTATATAGATAAGGCAAAGCAAAGGCTTTGCTATTGATCCGCCATCGACTTGTTAAGTCCTGTGTTTGACGTGTTTCCGAGGTGAGACATCCTCCTATACGAGGTTTAGAGGTCTTACTTACTGAGTTTACTCATGTGTTGTTGTTTAACCCTTTTCAGGTCCCTAGAAATGGATACTCAGATCGTGCATTTTGGTGTTCCCGTGGACCAAGACATGGGGGTCGTAGAGTTCGTAGCACCGGGGACCAACACCATGTACAATGAGTACGCGACGACCGTTTGGGTCGATAAGGAACTTAGCGACTTGGTTCCTCACCACTTCAAGGCATGATACGTATGGTTCGGAGGGGACCCATTCGGACATTTCTGAGGCTTTGACGAACCACCAGGTGCGCCGGGCGCGATCCCATGGGACCCTACGGTAATGGACGTCCCCGACGGTTCCGTCAATGACTCGAAGTCGGATCCGGACTACGACCCCGAATCTGAGCCATAGCATGGCCAAGTGTGGAGGAGGCCATTTTTTTTTGTGGAGATAGTCCTCGTAGATAAAGGAGCTAAGTTAACCCCAACCCCCTCCCTTTTTTTTTATGTAATCGGAAAGGGCCCGAGTAATGGGCGTGTAATTAGTCTAACTTCTGATGTGGGTCGATGATGCATATATATGAAGTGTGCTTTTGTGTATGTGTTTTCCATTTATCCCATTTGTGTTGTTGGTTGAGAGATATAGGATTCGCTTCCGCATGTGTTAATCAAAAGATAAAAAGAATGGGTCGGCGATGCCTCCTGGAACGTTGCAATTCAATGACCGATGAAGGGAAGTCGCGCACCCGAGCCTCGGGGAAATAGGACCGAGGCGTGACACCCAGCGTGTCGGAATTCTCTATATTTTTAGAAATGACGCGTCACGTGTCATGTCATGTCGTGTCACATGTCACGTGTCGATGCTACATAGTTGGGTAGCACGCGTGACATATGAAATCGGGATTTAAGCTTTAATCTTCATGTCATCCAAATCCAACTTATTTAGACGATTAAAACATTCTCAACGCTATTTGAACCCGCTTATTAGCACAAATTATTTTATAAATAGATCTCCGGTAGCAAGGGAGGGAAACATAATTTTGTATAGTAATTGTTCAAATACTTTGAGCTAAAACATCGAGTATGGCATTGGCCCACTACAACCAACTATAACTAAGACTTATACCCTCAAATCAAATTCGTTTGTCATATGATAACCATTCAATTATTATGCCTCACTTCTGAATGCCCAGTGGGACGAAAAATGCTAGGCCCATAAGTGGATTTAACCATTCGGAATAGCAGGGGAAGCTGTAGTCCTAAGAATAAAAACACGGTCAGAGAGGCCAACAAAGTTATGGGAATGAAAACCCATTCCAGTCTCTTGTCCAGCACAATTGTGAGAGTTGCAGCAAAGGCCACCAGCATGAAAGCCAAGGAGAGAATGAGAAAAGAAAGCCCCATTATGATCTTCTTAGGCAACGAGTGAAGAAAATCTTCCCACTCATAATGCGAAGTTAAGATGGCTAGGAATAACATGATGGCCATCACGGAGGAGAACAAACCTAACGCATCCGAAATTGCGAAAACCAGAAGAGAGTCCTCTCCTAACAACAATGGAACTCCAGTATTTCCGTTATTCCCTCCAGGCACAGTGAAAGCAGCAGCGAACAATACTGTGGCAATTAGAGTTGAGACGAGCATACATGAATTTGCTGTCTCCTTCACCCACTTCTCTCCATCCTTGAGCAACTGTTCGTGCTTCTCCATGAATAATTCCCAACATGTTTTCCCATTATTAATGGCGGTTCTCACGTCAGGCATAATACACATTTCCATAGCCTATGCATAAAAGTCGAAAATATGAGTTACAATAAGTGGATAAATTATTGAAAATTTAAAAAAAAAAACGCGGAAGGAACATCTCAAGGAGTTACAATATGAGTTACAATAAGTGGACAAATACAGAACATTATACAGTGGAACTAGCACAGCTATCGTGAAAACATAAGCAAAACTGATTTAAATGCTTTTTATCTCCAAAATTAATATTTGTGGATAATACATGAAATGATTTTCACAATAATCCCCAAATTGCATCGTGACAGAAACCTATGGAAAGAGTAGGTCGGATTGAGAAAGAGTTGTTTGGATTAGATTAAGTGGCAGATCATAGTTACATTCTAATTATGATGACTTTCAATCAGTTTTTAGTGCCCCAATTTCTCTAATCAGTCTCCCTTATTTTCTGCAAATTGTTCTGAGGATATAGCGTCGTTTCTCAACTTACTTAAATGATTTATGTTTAGCATGTGTCATTTATAAGTTCTATGTACCAACAAGGTGTTGGCTTATATGGTAATAGAATTTATTCTTGGCTTAATATTACGAAAAACCCCAAACTGGTACACTTGTGACAAATTTACCTTAAACTAATTTTTTGACCATCAAAAATACCAAATTGGTACACCTGTAACAAATTTACCTTCTATTAGTTTTCGTTAAATTTTACCGTCAAATTGCTGAATTAGATGATACGTGACAATTGACAGGTATACTAGTTTGGGGTTTTATCCTCCGTTTGTCACATGTGTTCTGGTTTGTGATTTTTGTGGTATTAGTCCAATTTAACAAAAATTAACGGATGATAAATTTGTCACAAATATATCAATTTGGGGTTTTTGTTGGTAAAAAAATTAGTTTGAGCTAAATTTGTCACGAGTGTACCAGTTTAGAGTTTTTTGTGATCGAAAAATTAGTTTGTGGTACATTTGTCAAATGTGTACCAGTTTGAGATTTTTCGTAGTATTTACCCTTTATTCTTCTCCTTATAGTATTGGATTCAAGTCTTGTTGAGAATATGTCAGAACTAAAATCCTAAATGCCCCAGACTGATGTAAGGTGGTGTGCCCTTAAAATCGATCGGGGAGATGGACCAACTAAGGTGTGTGAGACCTTACCAAAATATCACCTGACCACTGTAAAAGAAAGTAACTACATATGTTCTCAAAACTATCCAAATAAAGATCTAGCCATCATATTTTAAGAAATTTGGCGAGAAGATGTGATAATTATCATTAAGAGTGGTTATTGACTATATGAAAAGAAAGATACTAACCTTAAACCATTGGAGTTCTTTTTGCATTTTAAAAGCTGCTCCGGAGACTTTATTTACACCACCCAAATTAGGTTTGTACTTTGTGGCTGCGACCATAATCATCCATGATTCACTCGGTGTGGGCGCTGGAATGAATGACAACTCATTGGTTGAGCTTCCCTTCAGAAAGAGTCTCAGGATGCTTTCTTGGCGATACTCCACAGCAATTGTCCTCAACGTTTCACCATCAGCCCGAAGCTGCATAAGTTCCGGGAAAAACTCAATCCATAGCTTCACAAGTTCAGGGATTCCCCTGGATATAGCTCGAGCAAGCAGTTCCTCCTCTTCGAAAAATTTGGTAATTTCCGGAGTTGTCATATGAGAGATTGCAATGCAAACTTGTTTTGCCAACTCAACCGACGCCACATGTCTCAACTTCACCTCATGAATCCTCTTGATTGTAGGAACTACAAAATGTTAAATGAATGAAAAATGAAAATGAAAAACGAAGAGGCAGCAATTGAATTGGACTTAAAAAAAATCGCCAAGTTATTTACTAGACTCCAAATTGCATCTAACAACATTTTGCTAGTTGTCGTATTTTCCCACCAAACCCCTACCACATTGAGAGCTAACTCAACTCTATTCTAAAATAACTTTTTCATTGATAAAAATACGCAACGACCTCAGATGCAAAGTGTGGGTTTTCTGATGCAAAGTAATAAAATCATTTTTGGCATTTTCCCAAAAACGGTTTATATAATGTCTTGATAAAGAAAAATAATAGGATGTGAAAAAGCAGAACCGATGAGAGGGTAAGTGAAGAAAGTGATCTTTCTTGAAGTTGATTTGCAAGGGTAGAAAGAAGGGATAAAGGAAATGTCTAGATCTTCATTTGTTATGAAAAAGAAGGAAGTTCAGACGAGGCTTTATAATACAAATCGCGATTAAGACTCTGAAGATAATCGTGCTAATGACACGTCTCTAGCTAGAGTAAATCACAGTAATCTTTTGCATATATAGTTACTTCAAACAATATTATTCATATATGCATAGCAGCTCGTAATAAATCGTACGATCCTTTGTGTTGTTATTTGCGCTCAGGACAATTGCAAACATATTACTTTTTCCATTCTATCTGTCTTGAATAAAATCAAAACTTCCACATGCGGTCGCATACTGGCATGTCACGTATGAGCTTATTTGTTGCACCTAAATGATATAGTGCGTATAGCTAACTCAACTCTATTCTAAAATAACTTTTTCTTTTATAAAAATACGCAACGACCTGTTTCCTTCTTGTTCTTCGAAAAAAATAAAATAATTAAGGACAAGATGACAAGGTGAGTCTAACTTCGGGCAAAAGTTGTGAATAAGTTGTGAATAATTGCTTCCACTCCAATATTCTTCTATTCAAAGCCCTTCCAAACAATTCATTTTCATTTTTCCTATCTGATTTCTTCCCCATTTCCCATTCTGCATTCCTTTCTAAAGTTGCCAAATAAAAGTGTCGATATACTTTAAAGGATAAACCCGTGCCTTCATCTATTGCAACCTTATTTTATAGTCAATGATGCTAGGGGCTTGCCCCCGGTCCCACTCCCAATTCCTGCATCCTCTCAACATATTATACCGAGTTGTATTGAGATGAAGTAGCAGTCAAAGAAAATAATATTTAGGCTTAAGCACTTCACCCATAAAGGAGGAAACAAATACATTTGGGTTCATTGTTTTTATTTTTTCACAAAGATTTAGATGCTTTATAGAGATTGATGAAGCGAACATGATTTCACCAATCAAGATTGAAGGGGGAAGTCCTAGGTTTACGTAACTCTCATTCTATTAGCCATTAGCAAGATAAATTCCTAAGTTAACATCAAATCTCACCTCAATTTGCAATTTCAAGGATTTTGTTTCTTACATTTTTCAAAAAAGTTTTACACTCTTGCAATGGTGGATACATGATATCTTTGAAAATATGCAAATATTGACATAAAGAATCATATATATAAAAATTTTAATTAGATCCAATGTTGTGTAAAAGAATAAGTTATACATTCACTGTTGAATGGTTGACATGTGGAAAAATTTAGCTAGAAAATTGAACTCCAAACACACATGTTACTTATCCGGTGGTGACTGCATAAAGATTTTTATACAGAGGCAATGGACCTAATAAAAATCCCTTTCCAAATTAGGGCCAAATTATTAACTAGAACTTATATCTACTTATAAAAGAAGTAGAAAACAAACAAGAAATAGGCTTTTAGAGAGAGAGAGAGAGAGAGAGAGAGAGAGAGAGAGTATGTTCATAAAATGGAAGCGTACCTACAATTTTGGCAGCATTCCAAAGTGACCTTCTAAGACATTGAAGCGCTACGATTAGGTTGCAGCGAGACCCAGGTAAGTGGACCTGAAACCTTTGTGCATAGGTGGAATGAAGATACTTTACTGCATAGATGATAATCATTGGTGTCCTGACAATCTCAATGGTTGATATTCACAGAGATCAAAACAAACGACATTCACATTCACAGGGATAAATCAGTGTAGCTCTGCTTCGTTTTGCAGCTCCTGCCATACTAGTTCCGTTGTAATTCGTTCTTTTCATTGTCTATTAAATAAGTTATACAACACTCATGCACTTGGTTGAACGATGTTGGCTCCTACAGGCCGTCAAGTAGTTCAAATTTCAGGCCATTATCCAAGTAAAACTAGGTGAAGGGATCAGAATATATCCTATAAAGAAACAATAATTTTGGTTTCCTTGCTAGTAGAGAGGGAATCAATCTTAGATAATTGACTTAAGTTAAAAATCATGGAAGGTCCTAAATTAAATAATGCCCAACTGTAAAAAAGCATACCCACGCGGATCCTCTGAACTTTCATCGATTGGTTTGTAGTTCAAGTCCACCGAAGTACCTTCAGTTCAGATAAACAAAGAGCAGGTGATGAGCCGGGTATGATCTTCATGAAGGGATCCAGAAATGAAGGGATTCAAGTGCAGAAACTACGGACATGTATATATCAATGCTTCCAAGATAGTCAGCCTGGTTCCGCTTGGAAAGTGAGACTCGTTCCTTGCCAACATGCCCATTATGGATAAATCTCCATAGCTTCCGCCTTTCATGGTAAGAAAGTGAGGGTACCGCTGAACTAGATGAAGGATGATATCTATCCGAATTCACAAGCAAAGTTGAAGGAAAATAACCTAAGTCTAGAATGAAGGAAAAAAACAGATGGAATGGAGATAGAGTGGTGGTGATCTTGCCATAATGACCAGCGAAGGCGAGACCTATAATGGTCCGGATCGCATAGGGACTGCTGAAGGGATGACTTGGCCCATCGTCTGTTGTATATTTCGCCAGGAACCAGGCAATCTCCTTATGCATGCAAGCTTCCCGAGCAGATATGTCCAAAGGAAGACGTCCTTCATTATCTGGAAGTTGCGTCAACTTAGGATTACTTCTAACTAATGCCTTGACAAGCCTTATCCTTCCACACAGGACAGCAATGTGGAGGGCTGTGCGGCCATCACAATCAACCATTTCAAGCGCTTCCGGATATTGAAACAAGACCTCAATCAGGTTCTCAACAAATTGGTCTTGTGCATTCAACGCGGCTATATGAAGCACTGTCTCTGATCTGCTTGTTATTTTGGCCGTCTTTGAAGCAGGATCTATTTCCAAAAATCTTTTAGCAGATTCCCAATCACCCTTGAATGCAGCTCGCAACAATGGTCGGTAATAGCATCCGTCCACTTCCTCATTCGATATTTCTGCAATAGATGAAAACTTTTCAGGCCATTTTGTTAATACGTTTTCCTTGCAGACATTGAGAAGTGTCCCAGAAAAGAACAATTTCATGAAGATCCGTCCCTGATAGTAATTTCACTCTGAAATTACTCTTTTGAGGGATAACGCACCTGGAGCACCTCCGGATTCAGAAGGGGCTAATCCAACGCTTACACAAACATCTTCAATATATGTAGGAGAAAGAGTGAGCACAAAATCCTTCACATACTGATTATTTTTATCTTTTCTCTTTTTCCTAGCCAAGGTCAGGGTTATGTCTATTCGATGATAAAGCAAAGACAAAGAACCATGATAAAATAAAAGTTCCAGCATGTTTTAAGACGGCATCACTTTTATCTATTTTTTTCTCGGTTGGAACATGCAACATGTACCTGCAGGTTGTTCTGCTTGATCCGATTTTCTTGATCCATCACTTGACTGCGCCGCCATTGGGTTGCTCTCCTGGTTAGAGTTTTTCAACAACGATGTAAACGGAGAATGCAAAAATGGGTAAGATATTCAGCAATTAAAGAGTTTTAGTCTCCCTTGGGGGGAGTCCACTCCTTCCTTATATACAGGTACCTGCCTTAAACTGAAGGCGAGCCTCTACAATTACAACAAGCAAGCATATCTTTTTTTCCACTTTATAGCGGTTGGATTACTTGAGTGTAGAAAAGTTTATGTTTCGGAATATAAGCTAGACCCCTATACTAGTGGGCAAGTAACCCCGGGTTCTAGTGCCACAGATCATTAGGTTCACTCCCTAGTGATGAAATCATTACTTTACAATGACTCTGTCCCTCTTTCTTACTATAGAGTTCATTCCATCCTTTGACATCATGATCAAGTTGAGTCTTTACCAAGTTAAGTTGCTTCTTGTGCTTGGGAAAGCTACTCGGACAACTTAATTTGCAAGCCTTTAGTCATATAATTCATCAGCAAAATGAGCACCTCGCTTTTGTAAAGCCCAAAAGCAAAAGCAAAGAACTTCAATTTGATTCAAGGTAGAATCTTTCTAAAGAGCTAGCTTTCGTGTAAAATATAGCTATACGATGGAAATTCTCCAATTTCTTGTTTTCATCTCCAAAATTGTCAATGAAATATGTTTGGTAGAAATTTTGGTTGTTGTGTTTTCTAAACTTTGAACCTTAAAACTGAAAACAACCAAAAATTGACCTTATTTTGCACAGGACACCAAATATGTTTTTATAATTTTCATTCCCGTTGAAAACTTCTATTTTTTCACTCACCAAATATATTATCAAGAAAATGGAAGATGAAAACAAAAAATAGTTTTCATTAGAACATTTTTGTGAACCAAATGCACCCTAAATACCTTTGGGAAAATTGTCCCATCAGTTCTAGACTTATTGTATGGATGTTGTTGACACCTAAATTTTAACTAACTATTTAATAATCAGTGCATAGAATATTAGGGATTAATCTCTAAACCCTAAACAAAAATATTAAAATTTAGATTGCAGGGCATATAGTTTAGAATCATGTAGTTCGATTACATATTTGCATTGGATTGGCGGTGGATAGACTTAAATGGATGGCTTTGAACTTAATGAAATTGGACTAAGCCCATGTTCAAGAAAATTCTTGGCCCAGCCTATGGATGTTATAAGAGCTGAAATTTTCATTGGAAAATGTCAAGTTGGAATAATTGAATTATCGAATTATCGAATTATTAAATAATATACGTGGAAGATAATTCATATTATTTTATGAATATTCTGCTAGAGGAAATAATCATAAGATTGCCTAAGTTGAGTATCGTAATTAGGAAATAATATATCTTGACTCTTGTAAGATAACTCTGGCTAACTCTTATAAATAGATGTGTTAGGGATTCACAACGAAAGGAGGCCACACAATTGACATTCACGGCCATAGAGAGACGGCCGCCGTTGAGAGAGAAAAAGTGAGAAAAAGCTACAAGAAGGAGACCTCTCTTTCACGATCGTCACGATCGTCCCTGACGTTCGGTGGCTGTGCTGCTCTGCCTCTTACCTTGCCGCTGCGCCTCCCAATTCCCAGCGAAGTGGTCAAGCTTGGCCAAAATTCAGCAAGCATCCGAGTCACTACAGTTCTCAGCTCCCTGTTGCCGCTTCCAGTGCTGGTCGACGAAGCCACGTGACTCCGTGTGTGTGGTAATAATAAATAATAGAAAGTATTTAAATGATAAATACTAATAATAGCAAAACACCCCACTTCATCATTGCTTCCCGTGTGTGTACACAAGAAAGATTAAGGCTCATTCATATATGTACGGCAAGTTGATGTTCATATCTTATTCTAAAAATATCACATTAGATTTCATGAAAAATGAATAATAAATAATCACTTATATGACTTGAAATAATTAGTAGGTGGCAAATATTTTAATTATCGATAGCAATATATATCTAAATATTTTCATAGATGTTAAAAATATCTTCATTTTTTTTTGTAAGCGACATAAGTAATTAATTTTTTTTGTATTCTTTTTCTAATATAAAAAACTTTAAATTATACCCACTATAACACATTTATTATAAAATTTACTACATGTGCTATGATATCATTGTCCTACGATTTGATGTGTCTTCTTTTTCCCTTTATCCCTTTTTTTCTTACTTTCCTCCTTGTTTTTTTCCAAAGGCAACCATAAAAAGGGTAAGAAGATCACTTGATTGGTAAAGCAAGGTAAAACAAAAAACAGTCTAAAAGCATCTTTCAGGTGTAGCTGCGATGGGACTTTGGGGGAGTGGGGGGTGGAGATTTCGTTGGCACGTGGCGAATCTGGATTGAATAACGTGCACAATGGCAGATAGGACGAGTTGGGCCCCACGGCTATGCACGACTGAGGCTGCCTTAAATAGGGTCGTGTGTACGAAGTCGTGCTGCCATATGCAGCTTGAGGAAAGCACAATAATTACTATGTGACGGACATGGCCAAGAAGCAAGCTTACTCGACCATGGTCACCTATTAACTCCGCTATTTTCTTTTTCTTATTTTTATGCTTGCGCCACTGTTGTCTTCTTCTTCTTCCTCCTTTGCATTTTTAGAGAGAGAGAAACCTGACGCTTTTGAAACTTTAGATATTACATGAAACTTGATATAGGCACCCTGCCTCAATCATTGTACAAAAACCCTCGTAAAGATAATATATAAATGTACAATAACATTAGATAATAAAAACTATTTAAACGACGGATACTAATTGCAGAACTTCTCCTGTCATCAATATATATGAAAGGCAAGTTGATATTGATATATTGTTTTAGAAACATTGTATTAGATTTAATGAGACGATGAAATTTTTTCTACTTTATTATAAAGTAATATATCTAATTAATGTTATGGAAAGTGGGAAGGAATTGAGTTTTGTAATGATGAGGCTTAATTGTTGTCTTTCAATTATCTTTCTTGTATCGTAGTTGTAATTTCCAGATATCTTAATATTGATTAAATTCTGGCGTGTATCTTAATTGTAGCTTTTAGATTTTTCTTGTCAATTAAATTTCGACATTGTGTCTTTAAGTCACTATGCTTTGTTGTCAATTACGTTCCAGCAAAGTTTCGTGTACTTTAACATTGATTAAATTCGATCGAAGCATATTATTGGTTTCCTTGTGCTACTGTGAAACATCCTATCTGGAATCGCTACAAAACTTGTCTCCTCTTATAAAAAAATCAAAGAACAACTTTCGATGAAGAATTATTTCATTGTTGAATCTAATAGCAACGAAACAATTAGTTACTTATATATATGTGTATATCTATACATACCAATATGCATTGGGATAGAGATTCTTTCCGTGAAGATAGAAGGTTGTATATATGTAGGTAACATAATGATTTTTAACATTCTGATGCAAACACTACAACTTTGAATTGAAAACTCTCATTCACATTGTCATGTGACACTATTGCTATTACTTTACCAAAACACTACAGTTTGATAAAGGAAGTTCACTCTCCTCGCTAATCTTTCAAAATTATTTGCTTTCTATTATAAATGCTTCTACATTATTTCTTTCTTTCGTTATTTTTTCCTATTTTCTAAATAAATAAAAAAAATTGCCTTAAAGATCTCTGCTCATACTAGGCAATACCAAAAATTGCACTTTCATGCAACGTAAAATTCAATATTTATGCATTTTATGCATGTCATTCCTTTTTCATAAACTTTAAAAGGATTCCCATGTAGGGACATAATGACCAACATACCCACGGGTTTTTTCTAGCATATGCAATTTGTACAAAATATTTTACTATGTCAATTTCCTATTGCAATCATATCCATTAGTTTGTTAATCCTCTGGTTCAAATTTATCACTTTCCCTTATCAATTACTGTAAGACAAGTTATCTCTCTTATCTATCCCCTAACATATTATTCTTCTAAGTTACCTCTATTCAATATGCACAATCAAATCTTTGCCGAATTTCCTTGTAGATGTTTTCTAATAGTACTTGCAAGACCTTAGCAATTCCTAGTTGTGTACTGGTGACTAGCTAGGGACACCGAGCCATGCAGACTTCATCACTACTAAGAATGCATTTCTAAGGTCTAGCAGCCGATACAGGCACCGATTCTTGAGACATGGGTAGAGTACGCAAGGCATCTTTCAGAATCCTCGAAATTTTGGGAGTCTTAAAAAATCAGTTCTATTGTCTTGTGGGAATACTTTAATATCTGCCTAGACTACACAAAGTATCCTTTTAACATATTTTTGGAGTATCTTTTGTTGTGTAGACAAGTTTATTCGTGTTTCTGTGCGCGCTGTGTATGAAAGACTAGTTGTAGTCATTACGTTTCATAGAGAATGTGGGAGGAGAAGTAACTCTTCTTTGCAGCTCTTCCAGAAAGATGTACTTCTCTTTTTCCCTTACCGACAATATGTTTCACGACAATCACTTCAACTATGGTGGTGTTGCTGTTCATCCACCTCTGGTGTCTCTCTGATGCATTTCTTCTTTTCATGCATTTTGACTCTTGTGTCATAGTTTTGCTTTACGGAAATGAGAGTCACGGGAAGGTTTAGCGAAAAGTTCCGAGCAACCGGTCAATCTGCGGGTGGCGAAGGTGATTCGACAGTTCCCACAAAACAAAACCAACCGATTGCTGAAGTTGCAGCCCAAAATCAACCTCGCCTATGCGCTGTTCTTTAAAGTACGCCGAGCTTTTTGTTTGTAGGTGTTTGGCGCTTCTCAATTTGCACAATTTTCATAAATTATAAATATATATAATTTTTTATAATTTTTGTTGTGCGGGGGGGAAAGTGAAAATGTTGTGTATGGTTCTGCTAAACGAATGCCCTCACTTTTCACATCTAAGTAAAAGAAAGAACAACATGCATATACCAACTATTCAAATTAATAAAAGAAAAAACCGAAAAAGTTGCACGCAACGAGTATTATACAAAGTCCTCGGCAAAAGTATCTTTAAAGTGGGGCCGAGGCCCGAGATCACAATTTAGGGTGGAAATTTTGTTGGTACGTGGCGAATTTAGAGTAGATAGCGTGTACAAAAATAGATAGGATGAGTTCGGTGGTGTACAAAGTGATATTGCTACACATAACTGAAATGGTCAGAGAGCAACTTAACTCCACCATGGTCACCTATTAACATCACTTTGCGCTTATTTTTGTTTTTGTTTTTTTGCTTTGATTTTGCACCGCTTCTGTCTCCTTCCTCCTCCCTTGGATTTTAGAGATAGGGAGACCAGGCGCTTTTGGGACTCTAGATAATAAAAATCAAATATTCATCGGTCAATTGTTACTCATTAACAGGCCACCCCCTCATTTATTACATAAAACTTAATATAGGCACCCACCTGATTTATTGTCCAAAAACCCTCTTAAAGATAATATAAGAGTA